CTATGCCAACCTGCACCTGTAGCACTGCCAGTTCTCTGGTGCTGCAGAAAGCACCTGAGGGCTCGCTAAGGTTCCATGCTCTCCAAGTACTGAAGGTATGTTGGTTCCCCACCAGTGGTCAGAGTCAGGCAAGTGAGATACCAGTCCCTCAGGCAGCCACCAAAAGCAAGAACATTGAACATATTCCATTCTTTTCTTTCTCTGTCAAGGGACAAGCTGCAAGCTAGAATTTTCCTCCCAATTCTACCAAGCTAAGCTGGCTTAGGGGAAGGGCTACTATGGTTGGTATAAAATGGCTTTCTACCCATTAAAAAAAATGTTTATTCATTTTTGAGAGACAGAAAGAGACAGAGCACAGGCAGGGGTGGGGCAGAGAGAGACAGGGAGACACAGAATCCAAAGCAGGCTCCAGAATCTGAGCTGTCAGCACAGAGCCCAATACGGGGCTCGAAACCACGAACTGTGAAATCATGACCTGAACCAAAGTCAGACACTTAACTTACTGAGTCACTCAGGTACCCCTCAATATGGCCTTTTTTGACTTTGAGCTTGTCTGGAGTATTATAACTTCTTAACTGGTTTCTGGAGTTCCAAAATAAAGGCTCTTTGGAGCATAAACTATTGTTGAGTCACTATTTCTATAGGGAAACAAGGACTGGGACTTCCTATTCTACTATCTTGCTGACATTACTCTTGAATTTTTAAAATGTTTGTTATTTGTTCAGTTTTCCTCTTTTGGTAATAACTTCCTTATATTTCTTGTCCATTTCTTTAAAAAAATTTATGTGTATTTATTTTTGAGAGAGAGAAATGGAGAGTGGGGGGGGGGGGAGGGACAGAGAGAGAGACACACAGAATCCAAAGCAGGCTCCAAGCTCTGAACTGTCAGGAAACCAGATGAGGGGCTTGAACTCACAAACTATGACATCATGACCTGAGCCAAAGTCAGATGCTTACCGACTGAGCCACCCAGGTGCCCCTCTTGTCTAGTTCTATACTAGAGTGCTTTCCTCTTTATAATTGATTTGCAGGAGGATTGCTATACTTCGTGTACTAATCCTTTATCTGTTTTACAGGTTGCAAATATCTTCCAATTCTGTGGTTGATGTTTTCTGCTTGTTAACAGTGTTTTTATTTTGTTTATTCTCAGTTAAGTTTTAAAAAAAATGTCAACTTGACATATTTTGGGAGGATGATGTAGAGTGTACATACACATTGCCTCCTACTGATGTTTTAAGTCTCTTACTAAATTTCTTTTTTTTTAATTAAATTTTTAAATTATTTTTTAAATGTTTATTTTATGTTTGAGAGAGAGAGAGAGATCACAAGCAGGGGAGGGGAAGAGAGAGAGGAAGACATAGAATCTAAAGCAGGCTCCAGGCTTAGAGTTGTCAGCAAAGAGTCTAACATGGGGCTCAAACCCACGTATGAGATCATGATCTGAGCCGAAGTCAGATGCTTAGCTGACGGAGCCACCTAGGTGCCCCTCTTAGTAAATTTCTAATTCTATTATTCAACATTCATCTCAAGGTAAAATCAAAGTCTCCACCTGACATGTAAATAAATGATTGTAAATGCTTTCTATGTCCCTCTTGGGATTCTTCTTATTACATTTTTAGGTATAATTTATATACCACAAAATGTACCTATCTGAAAGGTACAATTCAAAGGTTTTTAATAAATCACTGACTTGGACAACCATTACCACTAATGATCCACTTTTAGTACATTTCCATCACTTCAAGATCTTTCATGCTCATCTGCAGTAAATCCCTGTTCCTATCTTTAGCCCTAGGCAACAACTAATCTACTCTGTCTCTATAGATTTGCCTATTCTGGACATTTTATAAAAATGGAATAATTTAATATATGGTGTTTTTTGACTGGCTTCTTTCACTAAGCATAATGTTTTTGAGGTTCACACATGTTGCAACATGAATCAGTAGACTGTTCCTTTCTTACTGAGGAATAGTATTATACCGTGTAGACATAACATATTTTGTTTATCCATTCATGAGTTGATGGGTATCTGGGTTGCTTCCACTTTTTATTTATTATGAATAATAATATGAATATCTGTATACAAGTATTCACATGCTTATTAGTCACTTGTATATGTTTTTTGATGACATGTATTCCAGTCTTTTGCCTATTTTTTTAAACTGGGTTATCTGTCTTATTACTGAGTTCTTTATATATTCCGATAAGAGCCCTTTATAATATGTTTAATTTGAAATTATTTTCTCGAAGTTTATGACTTGTCTTTTCATTTTTTAAATTGTGGTAACAGGCAATACTTATTTGTTTATCTATCCAGTTAAGGTGGACCTTTGGATCATTTCTTATTTAGAACTATTAGAAAATTAATGTTTGTATGAATATTTGTATAGAGATATTTGTATACAGGGGTGCTTGGGTGGCTCAGTCAGTTAAGTATCTGGCTTCAGCTAAGGTTATGATCTCACCATTAATGGGTACAAGCCCCATGTCAGAGTCTGTGCTGACAGCCTGCTTAGGATTCTGTGTCTCCCTCTCTCTCTGCCCCTCCCCTGCTCACATTCTGTCTCTCTCTCAAAAATAAACAAACATTAAAAAAAAATTTTTAAAGAAATATTTGAATAAAAATATTTGTGACTACCTATGTTTTCATTTGTAGTGAGTAAATACTCAAGAATGGAGTTGGTGGTTCAGATGGTAAGTGTATAGTTAACTTTATAATAATCGCTATGCTGTTTACCAAAGTGGTCATACTGCTTCACATTCTCACAGACAGCAGGTGAGAGATCCAGTGGTTCCTCATCTTCTCCAACACACACTGACATAAGTGTTCTCAATTTTAGTCATTTGAGGGAGGTATACTTGGTATCATGTTTGGGTTTTTTTCTTGCTTAATTATTTTATTGTAGTGAAACATACATAATTGTTATCATTTTAATCATTTGTATTTGGTAACCATTCAGTGCCACTAAATATATTCACATGCTGTGTACCCATCACCATGATCTATACCCAAAGCCTTTCATTATCCTTAATGTAAACTATAGACCCATTAAACAATAATCCCATTCCCTCTAGCCCCTGATAACCTCTCTTCTGCTTTCTGTCTCTATTGAGTTTGCCTCTTCTAGGTACTTCATATAAATAGAATCATACAATATTTGCCCTTCTGTGTCTGGCTTATTTCACTAAGCATAATGTTTTCAATGTCCATCCATATTCTTGCATATATAAAAATTTTATTCCTTTTTATAGCTGAACTATATTTTCTATTGTACTTATATACCTTGTTTTGTGTATCCACTACATGTTTCGTTGATGGGAACTTGAAGTGTTCCCACCTTTTGGCTACTGTGAATAATGGTGCCATGAACACTGGTGTACAGATAGATATCTGTTCAAGTTCCTGCTTTCAGTTCTTTTGAATATATGCCTAAGAGTGGAACTGTTGGGTCTTATCATAATTCTATGTTTAATTTTTGAGGAACTACCAAATTTTTACACAGTGGCTACATTATTTTACATTACCATCAGCAAGACTATCCTTTCAGGAATCATTTCTATAGTTTGTTACATTCCCACCAACAATGCACAGGGCTCTACATTTTTAACCTACTTGCCAACATTTATTATTTTTCAGTTTTGTTTGTTTTTAAAATTATAGACCACTCTGGTACATTTGATGTGGTACCCATTATGTCTTTGATTTACATTTCCCTAATAATAAGTTATGTTGAACATTATTTCATGTGCTTATTGGCCAGCTGTATCGTCTTTGGAGACATGTTTAAACAACTCTGGAGGCACCTGGGTGGCTCAGTCGGTTAAGTGTCCGACTGCAGCTCAGGTCATGATCTCATGGTTTGTGGGTTTGAGCCCCGCGTCGGGCTCTGTGCTGACAGCTAGCTCAGAGCCTGGAGCCTGTTTCAGACCCTCTCTCTCTGACCCTCCCCTGCTCATGCTGTCTCTCTCTCAGAAATAAATAAAACATTAAAAATTTTTTAAAAAATTTAAAAAATAAACAACTCTGTCGCCCATTTTAGAATTGAGCTTTTTGTTGTTGTTCAGTTTCAGCTCTTCCTATACTCTGGATATTAATCCTTTATTGGATAAATGAAAAAAGTTTCCACTTTTTCAAAAAGTAGGCTTTTTGCTTTCTTGAGAGTATCCTATAATTCATAAAAATTCTTACTTTTAATAAGGTCTAATTTATCTACTTTTTCTTGGTTGCTTCTGCTTATGGGGTCATATCCAAAAGAATCACTGCCAAATCCAATGTCATTAAGATTTTCTCCAGTGTTTTTGCCTAAGAGTTTCATAATTTACTTTAAAGTTCAGATGCAAAGGATCCTATAGGCTGAAGTCAAAGACAATTTCTGATACAGCTTTAATTGGCAATAGCTTTATGAAAACAAACTAAAAAACAAAAGAAAGGGACAAAGGTCCCCTGTTCCCAGCTTCTCTTAGTTACTCATTTGTTAAAATTGAAATGCTCACCAATGAAGATAACTTTGAATTCTCTTACACAGTGAAGAACATATTGTAATGTGATTAGTTGCCTTTTAATTTGTCTGAATCTATTTTGATTTGTTTAGTCTAGATTTTGGAATATTATGTTTCTTAAAATAAGTCATATGTGCACATCAAATATCTGTTGCCTTGTAAATGCAATTTGTGTGTGTGTATGTATAACACAAACACACAGACGCTCTCTGAACTGAGCCCTTCCTTTGTTTGTGTTCCCTACTGTACATGTAGGGATTTTTACTCAGTGGGCCACAAGGGACATTGCATGATTTACTGCCCTAAAAAGCTGAAAGAATACTGATTTAAAAAAGAAATTTTCATTAAATTCACAAATTTACCATGTATAAATAATCTCTCCATACAGAATAAATGTAACTATGAACATGAATTTCCTAAGAATTATAATATTTTTTCTCTTATAACCAAACTGATACATTTTGAAACTTGAGAAGGGGGATGTTTAGTTTAACACCTACCGCCTTTGAGTGTTAAATCCATTAAGATGATTCTCTCGGAGTTCAGACACTAACGATAAAACCATCTGTAAAACAAAATCAGTTGCAGGTTAACTCATACTGCAAAACAGGATTACATCAGTTCTATTTTTCCTGGTGTGAGTGATATTTCCGTTGAGATTCTCTACCCTCCCCTACCCGTCCTCTCCTTGTTTTACTTTGTCAAAATGAAAAGAAAGCAGTGCCAAGTCACATTTACAACTAACTTGGATTTTATTTTTTAGGTCTGTTATTCTCCACTCCAATTTAAGCAAATGAACAATAGATCATTAATTTCCTAAGAAAACCAAACCTGTTAAAAATAAAACCACATTAAAGTTAGTTAATTTTTTTCTTTCCTAATTTTAGTACTTTATCTTTTAAAAATTCTACTTATGTATAAAGTTTCCTAAAGGCCAGAGTAGTTAACAAACATTATTTAGAAAAACAAACCAGCAAACATTATTTTGAAGAGCTATGTTAATATCATAAATTAAAAATCCTTGAATTTGGCTAAAATTCAAGGCAGAAGAAAACATAGCTTTAATACTAAGATAGGAATATATAACACTATTTACAACATTGTTATTTATTAAATTTTCTGCCTTAACATAAAATTTCTATCAGGAATTTTAAACAAAATATTTGTCCAACAGTAAAAGTGTGTGTTTATATTGGTTAAGGAAATCTCTTCTTCCAAAAATCTTTGAGAGAATAAATGACATCTGTTAAGAGACAAAAGGGGTTGGCTGATTTAGAATAACCTCTCCTGGTTTCCCTCGTTTTTCTCATAATCTCCTGCTTCACATTTCTTCCTTATATGGCTATAAGTCCACCCAAGGTAAGAAGAGATAAACAGAGAAACGTTAAACATCTCTCCTAGAAGAGTGAAATATTTCCATTTACCCTTTTTGCCGATGGTACACTAGGCAACAAAAATTTCAATACTAATACATTAAAAATACTCACATTTTTAAGTAAACCAGGATAGTAATCTGCAGGTGCATATCCAAGACCTTGAGTAAAAAGACCCAGTTCTTTTGTATCAAATCTGAATGCTGAAAGCATATGAGATAACAAGCCCTTAAAAACATAAACAAAAAAAGTTATTAAAAGTGAGTGCAAGTGACAAGTGCCTATTATATGTAATGCCTAGAATCCATGTCCTTTGTAAATGCGGTGATCTCTATGAAAGGAGTAATCTTAATTTGTCCAAATACCCAGTTCATGTGGATTCAAAGTATAATAAGTTGGCCTTAAAATTATCACATTAATTTAATTTTATTATTTTATTTTTGTTTTTAGAGAGACAGCAAGAGAGAGTGTACAAATGGGGTAGAAGTGTGAGCGCGGGGTTGGAAGACAGAGAGAGAGAGAGAGAGAGAGAGAGAGAATAAATCTCAAGCAGGCTCCAGGCTCAGCACAGGGCCCAACACGGGTATAACCTGAGCTGAATTCAAGAGTTGGATGCTCAATCAACTGAGCCACTCAGGCCGCCCAAAATAGATCATTTTAAACAAATGTTAACAGTGAAGCAAAAATATATAATGAATGAACAATGCTTTAACCATATTAAGAATGTGATCTTTATTGTTTTTAACTCAGCAAAATATTTTTATCAAAGTAGATATAATAATTTAACACATGACAATGAACACACCACAAATTACTAGGGAAAGATTATGCATTAATAAATGGTGCTATGGGAACACTATTTGAAAAAATTAGATTTGTACCTTATGTCATTCATCAAAATATACCTGAACTTGATGTGAATTAAAGAGATCAATGTAAAAATGAAATAAGGGGTGTATGGGTGGCTCAGCTGGTTAAGCGTCCAACCTCGGCTTAGGTCATGATCTCACAGTTTGTGAATTTGAGCCCTTTATCAGGCTTTGTGCTGACAGCTCAGAGCCTGGACCCTGCTTCAGATTCTGTCTTCCACTTTCTCTGCCCTTCCCCAGCTCATGCTCTGTCTCTCTCTCTCTCTCTCAAAAATAAATAAAATTATAAATTATAAAATATTTAAATAAAATATATAAAAAATATATAGTAAAATTAATAGAAAAATAAACAAGAAGAACGTAAGTACTTTTCAGGTGTGTCTAGATGGAATAGAACTTTGTAAACTGAAAATCAAGAGAGCAAATCATTGGTTGTTCTAAACAGAAATAAAATCTTGTGTTTCCAGAAAATAATATAAGCAAAAACTAGGAAGAATATTGACAAATAACAGCATGACCATAAGGAGTCAAATTATTGTGTAAAATATCATACGACAAATACTAAGAACATACAAAATGAGTATCAACGGATAATTCATAAAAGAAAATACAAATGTGCAAGAAACACACGGATAAACTGCTCACCCTGATAAACTCAAAGGGAATATTTAAACATCAACATACCATTTTTCACTTAATGAATTAAAGATTTATAGACCTAAATACCAAATGCTAATCTGGGTACTTTGAAACAAGGACTCGTGTGAGCTATTAAAATATAAATGGGTATCCATATGTCCTGCTGCTGTGAACCACACTGAGGCACCCCCAGAGAGTGTGAGTGGGTATAACACAGTCCATAATCCACCCCAAGCTTAGACTGCCAGGGCTGTGTCTGCCCAGAGGTTTATAACCTGAACAAAGGCGCCTTATAGGTTAATAGAGGTCTGCCTTATAGAGCGCAACTTGAAAATATATATTAAGGGTTTTTAAAAGCATTCAGAAGTTTTAATGTATCTGGCACACATATAAGGAAATAAACCCAAGTATGATGAGGGGGATTATACTCAAAGACGTTCATTACAATGTTCTTTCTCATAGTGAAAAATGTCTAACAGCAGAGACTGATTAATTTATCAAACCCTCATATAGTGGCTCACTGTAAACCATTAAAATGTTTATAAAGAATATATGAGAGTATTTTAAATAGCTATAATTTTAAATGAAGAAAGGAAGATGGAAATTTTAATATACAGAAACAATCTCATCAACCTAAAAATAATCCATACCATACATGGAAATAAAAAAATAATGGAAGAAACTATCACCAAATATTAATGGTCTCTGTGGTGGTGCTGTTATGGGTATATATATTTTTCTTTCTTTCTCCTCCCTCTTTAAGAGAGGGAGAGAGTGCAAGTGCGTAGAGGTGCAGAAGGAGAGAGGGAGAGAATCTCAAGCGGGCTCCATGCTCATCACAGAGCCCAACGCAAGGCTTGATCCCACAACCTTGGGATCACAGCCTGAGCCGAAACCAAGATTCTGACACTCAACCGACTGAGCCACCCAGGTGCCCCTATATTTTTCCTTCTTTCTACTTTAGTATGTTTTCCAGTTTCCTATATGTGTATGTGTACTACAGGAAATACTATAGTTTATAATCAGGAAAACAATATTTGCTTTTTAAAAAGTGTTATATTTGGAAACATTTATTTTTTAGCAACAGCTTTATTGAGACATAATTCATATACTATATAACTCAATGGATTTTAGTATATCCACAGGGAAACAGTAATTTTATTTTTTCTTAAGTCCTATACTGCATTCTGTAAGTACACATTACAAGATAAAATAAACTTGTGTTTGTGCATCTAAATTTGTGAGTCCTTACACATATACTTTGATAGGACTAAGAATCTAGGGAAGTAAAAATAATATAATAAATTCCACCCACCATCACACTTAAGCATTAAAAACACCAAAGGCTGACTCTCCCTCACTGGCTTCTTTGAAGCTATAGGGCTGTAGACTCTGTGGCCCCTCAGGACTTTACAATGTCCTAGTCCCTTAGCCATGAGGATTCTTCCAGATCTGGTTAAATGTTACTTCTTGAGGGAATTCTAACAATTAAGACAACTAAAATTTACTGACTGCTTTCCATGTGTGAAATATTGTGCTAAGTTCTCTAAGTATGGCATCTCACTTAAAATCCCATAAATCAAGTTTTTAATAAAATTCAATTAAGCAAGTTTCAATTAAGCCACCTATAAACAGGCGGCTACTATCATTATAATTCACAGGACTGACCCTTAAAAAGTTAAAGCACAAAGTGCTACAGACCTAGTTGGTATAAAAAGTAATTCAGTACATATACAATAGAAGGAAACTGATTTCAAGGCTCTAACAATTAAAAATCAGTTATGATTGCAGGTCTTAAGGAAAACATGCCAGGGCTTTCCCCTATAAACCCAGTGCCTCCCAGAAGCACTCACATTCTGAGCCTTGTACCAATGCATGGAGGCTGGCTTCCCAAAAGTGCAGGAGTTATTTTGGTAGTTGAGCCAATGAAAGTTAAAAAAAAAAACAAAAAAACAAAAAAACAAAAACAAACAAAAAACCTAGGACACTCAATAGATTCAGAGGGTGTAACCAGGAATTGTAATTCCTGAGTAATGGTTAAAATAGCCATAAACAGTTCCCTAGATAGTATTCACAATGCCTGTATTATGCAAGCTGACTATAACACCTAAGGTCTTGGAAAAATAACAATTTAATTGGCAGACCTGTCCTGGCCTAAATTCCCAAAATGATATGGTTAGAAACTGATTTTTTAAAAATCAAATGCTATAAATATTAGTTCCCCCACCCTACCTCTTGATTTGTTTAACAAATAAAACCAAACAAACAAAAAACCTCATACTGCGATACTCAGTGTTGGCAAGGATGTGGTGAGTGGGTACTCTGTCATTGTTGGGAGCATAATTTGATAAAGACTTTCTGGGAAGTCACTTGATATGTAGCCAAAACATTAAAATTCATATCCTTTTACCCAGTTTTTTGATTTCCAAGAACATATATTAATGAAAGTTTTAAGTTCATTAAACAGCATTACTTACAGCAGTGAAAAACTAGAAGCAACCAAAGTACCCTACACAATACTGGACTGGCTGAATTCCTCATGGTTTATCCAACAGTGTGCATTATGTTGTAAAAAGATATTTAATAACCCAGGAAAAGACAATGTAACATTAATTTAAAAAGCAAGGGGTCAAACTGTATGTTCAATGTGATTTTAATTTTGTATGGAAAAAAACGTTAGGAAGAAATGTAACAATAGTTAAAACAGATTTTTTTCTAGTAGTGATTTAAAATTTCTTCTTTAAAATATCTGCATTTCCAAAGTTTCTACAACTACCAAAGCTGGGTACTTACTCTATGGCCAAAACTTAAAGGAATGTCCCCATATCCACTTTACATGAGGCAGCTAGGATAGTTTTTTTTTTTTATCATAACAATGCAAATCTGATTGGTCTTCAGCATTAGACCCTCTATGGCTTACTTTTTATCTTAAGAAATATTTTGTAAACCAAAATTACATGCTTTAACTTATGTCTGTTTTTCCCATAATTCCCTAATACGAACTGCTATGGAGGGCCAAGAGAGTTTTGCTCCTGGATAAAATAAGCATAGATCCTAAGACACAGCATACTGAGGCCTGGCTATGGTTACATAACTTCCAAACAGACACCTCAAACTTTAGACCTTCAAATCTCTCTTTTAAAGAAAACTTAATACCTGACAAGCACTTCTCATTGTTAAGAATTTTTTTTTTACTGCCACCTAGTGGCTACCAGAAAACCATCAAACAGAAAGCCATTCAAGATTCTGTAGGCATCAAATGCCTGGACAAAAATTCATTCCTACAGTCGGATGATAATGGATTCTTTTGTAAATGCCAACAGAGCAACCCTGGAGATTCTCTATTTCAATCTTCTCATTTTACTAATGAACTGATGAAGAACTGGGTTTCTGAATACAGGAATCAGTATCAACAAAAAGGATGTGAATGTAAACAAATAGGTTCTGACTTGAAGGGCTTAAAGAAAACGTGCAAATCATCCAATCACTCTGGCTTGTGATCTAAGATCCTTCAAGGGTGGCAGGTGCAGTAATGAGCACAGCTGTGTACAAAGCATCTGAAGTCCAATTTTGATTCATGCAGGAGTTTTAAGAACTCCACTAGCGTTTGAAAAGCCATTTTAAAAATGCTTATCCATTAAAGGTGAGCTTTCATTAAGGAGAGATATTTTAAATAAACCAGAGGAAAATCCACTGCCCTTGTTTTCAGGTGCTGTTTTT